ATATAATCAATAAATTTAGGACTACCATGTTAGAAAGTGGAATGCATATTGGCACAGTTTTACTGAAAAGACAATTATTTACAGTGCTCACAGATATTAATTTATGCAAATCAGCGACTCTCTACCCCACCTGAAATATTTTGTACAATTTTTTCTCTCGAAACATACCCAAACAACCCCTAGTGGTTTTAAATGGCAAACCCTTAATTTGTGTTAAAATAGAATAGAATATTTTGTTTGGCTCAAATATATGGCCATAAAACAAACATTGTCACAGACGACAATAATAAATAAAACAAGAAAAATTTAACAATCAGTATAAATTTCTAAGATTTTATGAATAATTATATTGGCGAAGAAAACACATACAAAACATATTGGATTATGTTTAGGGTTTTAATAGTTTGTAGTTGGGGGCTCACTGCTAGAGTATGCTCTCCCATGCCATCCCACCTAACCACTACACACACACACACACACACACACACACACATTCACGTCGTACCATCATTGTGACAACACACATTGGATTAACTTTTAATATGGTAGTGATATGAACTTGATTAAAACGCGTTCCTATATAGTGTTGCATTTTAATTGGAGTTTAATTAACTCAATTACAATTAAGTTTAATTAAATAAAAGTTGAATATTCTGTGACTAAACATAGAAATGTTTGCGAAGCTTAGGTTTAGTAAAGGGGGTAGGTATGGTACAATTATTACTACTTTATACTAAAATATGTTTGGATATTTAGAGTACTAAGAAATTGACACTCCCGGTCCGGTTAGACTTAAAATACACCACGAATATTCACTTTTGAGATATAATTTTTGGTATGTGTTGGTTCTTGGATATTTCATCTTCGTCGTCCTGTACTTCGTTTAGTAATTCGAACTTCCCAGTTTACGTAAAAAGGGAGAGTTTCGCGATTTGGACATCGAAAATGCCTTTGCTTCATTATTTGCTGAGGGATGGCCGCTTAGGTATGTGCTCTGTAACTTGCAGCAAATGAACCTAAAAACGTTAGGTAATCAAACAAAAATGACGTTGTACTAAAGTCCAAAAAGTATGTTCAAGGTCTGCATTTTTTTGTAGCAAAAAACGATTTACTCCCTTGCTTATTGTAACACCCTCAAATCAACTGATTTCCATTCCCCTCAAGAGTCAAAATGGTATGTGCCTCCATTTTACACCAGGACTTGAAAAAGTCTTTTTTGCTCGATGTGTTCATTTGCCTTTAATAACGTTTCAGTGGCTGTCACAGTCCTATTCTGAGTCTTGCCGATAACATTTTGGTTCAAATTCACGTAGATATCGCCGAGAAAACTCAAATTTTCAACTAAAGCTAATTTGCATAACACTGTTTTTGCCCTAGGTCACCATATTGGACACCGCATACAGGGAGGTACCCTCTTACAATACAGGGTACAAAACAATTGTTAAAATATTAGATGAGGGTTCAGGAAATGCCTGAAAATACATTAGTATGTGAAGCATACAAGCTTGATATAAAGATGCATGATTCTGGTACTAAAAACTGGGTATCTGGTGTGAAAAAGATTTTGGAAAACCTAAATTTAAGTAATATCTGGAAAGATGGGCAAATTAAATACAGCAATGCTACTATTGAAGACATTACAGAAAAACTTAAAATGCAATTCCAGAAAAAAAGTAAAGAATGCATGTTTGATGATGATAAGGGCGTGCATCACAAAAACAAATTGAGAACATACAGAGAAATAAAAACTGATTTTTCTTTTGAGAAATACCTCCAAATAATTAAAAATCCACTATATTGTGCTGCAATGACTAAACTTAGAATAAGTGCCCACCGTTTACAGATCGAATCAGGCAGATACAAAAACATTTCCATCTCTGATAGAAAATGCCCTGTCTGTGATCTTGGAGAAATTGAAGATGAAGAAACATTTCCTTTTCACGTGCCAGCTATATGATAAAGA